TTTATATACTAAAATGTTGGAGAATCTGAAAGGCTATTGTGCTAAAGTATCATATTGGAAAGACAATGAGGAAATTTAAAATAATGTTTATTCTTTAATTTTTTTAACAGAAAGCATTAAATTATTTTAAGCATTTTATTACTGCAACTAAATCCAAATGGCATTATAGAACTGTAGCTTATTTCGCTGAACCGAAAGCCTTATAAAATTTTATTTCCCTTCAGATAGGAAGCTTGACAGTCCTTGGGGCAAAATGCAAGATAAGCAAAGGATTTGTCTTTTAGGAATTCATTTTTATTGAGTTTATTTCTTTGAGTTATTTTTAACATTGCAGGCTGAGTATGAAAAGCAAACAATGAAAAAAGGGGCTTTATTTTTACAAGCTTCAAAAGACTTGATATTTTCCGTCCGAAAAGCAGATAATTCTAGAATTCGATTATGAAATTTCGCACTGGTAATTTTAATTTTATACTGTCAGATTATGTTTATACCATTAATTGTAAAACTTTAAGCATTGTTAAGATTTATTTTACTTAACGCTGACATTTAAGCGTGATATAAAAGCTGCATTGCTATTATTAAACTTTCCGTGTTCATTTTATTCAAGAAAGACGATTACTCACAACTGTTTGAAACATATGAAATAGATGTTATGACAGACACTTATTTTCCCAATAAATAGGGAGTTAAGAAAATAATTTTCAGCACTGTGGTTAGGATAACTATTTAAATTCTGTCTTTTTCTCTTTCTTTGTGATCAAACAAGATCAAAATTTGATTTATTAAATTAAATTAAAAGGTACCCATCTTTATGATCAAAATTCGAAGAGATATGCTCAAATAACAATTGTATGAAACCTGCAACAAACGTTTACAAAATAGCGATGTATTACACAACGTATACCATTGATCCCATAAAAGAAAAACTTTTATTTTGCAGTTCTTCTCTATGTTTACTCGTAATAGACATGCAAAAGTTGTAAAAGTCAGTAAACTTATTCCATAATAGCTTCCGAATTCTGCACGTAAGTCTATTTAATGTACTGCGTTTAATCTACACTAAAATGTTGAATATTTTACCAGAGTAAAATTACGCTTTATTAGACCGATGTGTTATGTTTAGAAAAGGATTGTATTTTTAAGTGGTGAACCTGTGTAAATTTCTGTATGTCATTTTGAGAAACTTTAGAAGCACAAGTTTAGAATGACTAGTTAAGGAAACAAAGCCTGTAATGACATTTCTATAGCATTCTATACATAACTGAAATTCAATTTTAAACTGGAATAATGTCGCCAGACTAAACTTCACAAAACTGCCTGGTTACTAGACTTCGATTCTATACAGGATGTTGCGGAGAGACAAATTTAGCTCGCATTACTTTGCTGAAAATCAATCAAGGTCTAATCAATATTTTAAATGAAAAATAGAACAATATAACCTAAGAAATCCAAAATAACTGCACGAAGAATGTTCTTCTAATTGCTGAATCACAATTCATGATGGCATAACTGCATTTTCACGTTTCCTTCTGACACTTCTCATATTTCCTTCTGAGAAGTGAGTGAGTGAGTGAGTGCACCGCTATGATGGCTTCCGACCACGGACATGAACCAAACGGAATTATATACCATCACGGCGGGGAAGACTCCAGAGTAACAAGGTTAAATATTATACACTAATAACAGTTTAGCACCGTAAATACTTCTTACCTATTCTTCATTTGCTTCCAAGCCACATCTTTAACGTTTTTTGAAAAGACCTGCTACCGTTACTTTCATACGTTATTTCGAAAAGGTGGCTGTTTAGTCTCTTGTGTTCCAACTAGTACAGGAACATTCAACGATGTTTCATGACCGTATCAGAAACACTTAGGCAGAACGGTCTAAATCACATCTATAAATCTACGGAGTTGCAGACAATAGCATAGTTCTGCACAAAAACAATAGCAAGTTACAGAACACTAGCACATCAGACAATAGCATATCATTACAGAAAATAATAATGAAAAACATTCATACAATGTGCTACAAGTAACCTTTATATATTACAGTATTATAAAATCAAATATTTATGTTAATGGCGTTCTCATTTAACATGTAAAAGCCATTTTATAAAGAACTCTCGCACAAATTCGACGACTACAATCTGAATTACTTTAACATGTTACGGTTCTATAGCTTACAATAGCATGCTAAATCCTATTTTGAAAATAACTTCACGTAACATATAAAAAATGCACTATGAAAGTGCACCTAAAGAGTATCACAAAATGAATGGCATACACATTCATTAATATGTGCCTGTGTTTTTATGTCGTTTTGCACAGTTTTCATATATTTCTCTCAAGAATTTTTTTTAGTGTAAAGGCCAATTTTTTAATCTTTTATAAAATAAATACGTAACAGTTGTATTTATATAAATCTTAAATATTTCGTGCTGCCTAAAAAGAATTTTCCTACAAAAAATAAACAATTTTGTTTTGGATATTTCTCAATGAAGAAAGGAAACTCAGAATAAGTGGATCTAAGATTTCTTCTTATTTTTTCACGCATATGGAATATGGTGATGATTAGTATATTCAATTTTGCAAATTTAATTGCTCCATATATTTAAAATATTTTAAGATACATTTACGTTTTCAGCAGCTTTGCAGCTTTTGTTAACTATTTGATAAAGTATTTTATTATTATGTCCTAACGGTACATTACTTTGTTCATAATTACAGCTGTCAGAATTTATGTACATGAACATATTTTCTCTATACAAGCACAAATAAATTCTTCATTAGGTTTTGGATATTTTGTACACGTTCACTTAAATTTAGCAAATATTCCGACTTTTTTAGGAAAGACTACAATTAAGTAACTAAAAGTATTGATATGGTATCTATCTTAAATAACATAGTTTGCTTTCGTGTGTGTGTGTGTGTGATTATGGCAAAGCCTCGAGGGCTATCTGCCTAAGGGGAGGGATGCCTTCGTGGAGGACTTTCTAAGGGAGACTGGCTCGTATACACGTTACACATGGGGAAAACCACGAAAACGCATGGATGCCAAGCCCGTCCCGCGGATTCGAACCTCGGACCGAACTACCAGTGTTTAGCGACTTTACCGCTCGGCCGCTGGTGGGCTAGTTTGCTTCCGAAACTGTTGGCTGTAGACCTATGTTTCAAATTATAAAAAAATATTAAATAAAATTTATATTCACCTTTTAAATTTTTAATTTGAAAAAATTAATTTTGTAAAATTTACGACACGTCTCTTTTTGTACGGAAACCAATTTCCTGCAGTTATAGTTGGGTGAACTATAGATTATTATATAGATTAATTATAAATCATTTTAAAATGATATTTTATTTTTAGTTACGTACAAATGAGAACAGTTCTCTCTTCAACTTTTGTACGGTTTCTGGACGTGATCTCAAATTGTAAAATTAAATATGTAAGTTAATTTTTGTCGTAACGTAGTTATATATTTTGCATTTTTTAATCAATATAGTATTTTTGTAAACGTAATTGTAAGGACTGAGGGACCATGTATAAAGTTAAGTTTGTTAATTAAAAAAATTTAGATTAAAATACACAAATATGAATTTTTATGTCATTTAAAATATTTTATTTGTGAAGTATACATTCTTGTGTGAGTACGGGTTCGTAATAGATTGAATGCACAAGTCTGATGAAAAGTTAATAAAATTTATTCTTATCACAAGAAATAAAGCAAAATGCTGAAATGTTTCCTCACAGATATTCGTACAATATCACAGAGTAGTTATATGTTAAACTATTAAAACGTTAAATAGAACACAATTCAAGCGCAGAGAAAGCTCATCCGATCTCACCGCGAATTCGCAACAATCAACAAGAACTTAATAAACAGCTAATTTGAGATGTTTTCCTCGGCTTTTATAAGCTTTTTAATCATGCACGAGAACATTCTGGTATTTTTTCGAGGTTTCTGGAAAGCAAAAGTAAATGTTTAATGCGCGTGCTCCTGTATTTTAACTTTCTGGGCGTAGCTTTCTTTCTCTTAAAACTCGCCACGCGCTGCGTTGCACGGAGGAATAAAACAATTTTAATTATAATTCTACTAAAAATTGCAAATTAAATACAAAATCTATAACAATATCTATGGACAGAAGTTGAGAAAATAGAGACTACGTAAGGACCTTTGCACGTCCATCCGTTCATAGCATGTCGCTAATTTTGTCGCCAAATGGGCGATTTTGCGCCACATCTGGCAACCGTTAACGTGCTTTCCGGGGAAGCTTGATATCGCGTGGTGGACATTTTGTAACAATGCATTTATGCATATTCTTCATTATTTAATTCTTTTAAACATAATAAAGGGCGATAATATTTAGTGAAAACAATTTAAAAAGTGATTCGTCGTTTATAGTGAATTAACGCAAAATGCCAAAACGAAATTAATAGCCCTTCTGGGTAAATCGCATCTTTGTGATAAAAGGGAGCGGAAAAGTAATAAAAAAAATAATAGGAATTATATTAAAATAATAGGAATGGAGCTTGCGATTGTCAAATGACGAACAGACGCGATTAAATTCTTCCAAAACAAAGGTATCATCCACACTAAAAGATTAAACAACAAAATAAAACATTATTTCATTAGTACCGAAACACTGAAAGGCGCCGTTATGGAAGATAATGCCCCGAGGAGGATGGATTACAGAACAAATGCTGGCTCGAAATTCGCACATTCATTTTTTTGAGAATAATTTTGTTCACTTGCTCTAATTTCAAAAGATCAAACTTATAGAATTTTGTCAACTCCAACGAGGAATGAATAACTGTAAAATAGTAGACAGCAATAATTACTGGTTAGATTTCACGCCAACATTTAACGTTTGGCGACAATTGGCGATCCGTTATCCGAAAAGTACCTGTATTTTTTTCACGTGTGCATGTGTCAGAATCGTATTTGACAAAAGAAAGCAAACTTCAGACAAGACACAAATTCCTTGAATAAGAAGCATACATACCGCACCCGTCTTCATCACTGTTGTCTGCGCAATCAAACTCGCCGTCACACTGCCACTGCCGCTTGATACATCTTCCCGCTCTGCACTGGAACTCCTCATCACTGCATTCAGGCATTTCTAAGAGTATACAAAATTATTTAGCATCAGATAATGTCTACAAAATCAGTATATCTAACAACTTTCTATCTGGACACACGTAATTGAATAGATTCGAAATATACCCTAAACTAATAGAACATAATGTAAGATTAAATCGCCTTTCAAGTACGATAAGGCCTATATATAAATTTTCTCTCACTAAAAATCATACGTTTTTAATATAATGACGTTTCGTGATCCATGGATACATCACATCCACTAGCTTTCGAAATTCTGAATATTTGATTATTAAAGTGCTGATCACAGGTGCATCACAAGCTTTCATAAAAAAATGCTATAAATAAAATGCAAACTTGTGCCACAGGCAGCACAGCAAAAGCTCTTCTAAATACCAGTTTCAAGTGCATAGTCATGGCTACTGATTTTGCTTTTCTTCATAATAAAAAAATAAGGTTCAGTGTTTGGTATTTACTTGTCAATGGGTATTTATTACTATACACTATGTCCATCTAACAAGAAACTCTTGCGCTTGATAAACTAGTTTGAAGGTGCGGCCTTGTTGGCATGGCGTAACAGGTTCGACAGCTTTTCATAGCTTTAAGTCCGGGTTCGAATCGCAGAGAAGACATAGGTGTTTGTTATTATATAATGTCTTTGTAGCATAAAGGCACTTAAAATATTGTTGAGCCGAAAGTTCTTTCAAGAAACTGCTGGCTGAGAAAGAAGTATAAAGACTTTAAAATTCGTTTCCTAAGGATGATCATCAAAATTGGTTGATAGCTTAACAGTTAGCATGGGGGGAATACACCTATACGACCAACAGTGAACATCTAATAGCTCTCTCTACTTATACCTGTAACTGTATGCCGCCTAGAGCCAGGGAAAAATAAGTGCTATTCTTTGAGTCATTATATATTTCTTAGATCTGATCTAGCTGAAGTATAGATCAGGAGGACAACAACATATTTCAAGATTTTTTTTCATGTAAATATGAATGCATGTTTTATTATTATTTTCATTAAAATGAATTTTAAACAGTATACTTCTAGCATGAAAATTTTCAAAATTCTTTCATGCTTCTGCATTGCGTTCCATAAACTCTTTTCTGGACTATGCATGCCTTTCTGTTTTTTATGCCCTCTCGTCCATTAATTGGCATGGAAAATGCGAACTCCGTAGTAAATATTCGAAGACACTAAAGAGCGTTATTTTGGTGACGTAGCTTAGAGGCAGCTATAACCTGCAGACAATGAGATCCTATATTTGAACCTAGTATACACTTCCTGTGGTGTCTAATGTGAGAACTAAAGTAAAACATTAAAGAGGACCTCAATATTGCAGGAAAATAGAGATGATGGCGCGAAGGACACCAATTCTATACTGATGGTCATTGACCTAATAACCATCAGTATCGATTATTCCTCACTTGATATAGCTGTAGCGCCCTCAGTTTTTTTTAAACAAGTATAATGAAATGTTCATTTGACTAAATTTTATGTGATGAATTTTTCTGTCCTAAAGTAATGGGGGATTACAATTCTAGTTAGGTAACATTTGAGGACATTTCCTTAGGAAAACTGTATAATGTTGGTGCATTTTGCGCTAATACACGCACTTGTCCATGACCTACTGAGATTGCTTTAAATTACTTGAGAGATAAATTAGGCCTCACTGTAAAACATTGTTTTTCTGTATTCGAACCCAGAATATATCGTTTACACGTTATATCTGAGCACGAAAGCTGCCCTACAAAAACATTCGACAGTTTGCAGTCGATGGGGACACATTGGTCTCAAATAGATAACAGGGAAATGTGGATACGCAGCACAGATATAGAAGCTGAGTATTTCGTTTCAAGCGAAAGAGCAATCCATTTAGAGTCCCAAATATATAGAAGGTATGGCAAGTTTACGTTTCCGTACTTAGATGAGTCAGTAAGGTACATTACCAGTTTGGGAGAACGTGAATATTTTCTTAATGGAGAAAACTTACGGCAGTTTTTTTCATCAGACATGTCATCACAGTCATTTTCGCCGTCACATTTCCAATCGGAGTTGATGCATAATCCGTCGTCACAACGAAATTCTCCGTCCCGACAAGTGGCCTCACCAGCTAGAAATAAATGAAAATATTAATCCTCATTAAAAAATACTCTAACTGATTTATGTCAGTAAATGTTCTGTTTTCAAATTTTACGGGGGGGGGAAGAAGAGTTCTGATGCACATTTACAACTTTGAATTATACACTATTAAGTCCACAAAAGTGCTTATGCAGCCTTTATTTTTGCAACTGTTCGTCATAGACGTAAAATTCCAAGTACAAAAAAGTTTTAATTGATATTTAATTGTTATTTATATTTCAGAACTTTTAAATAAAAAAGCATCAATTCTGTGAAAATTAGAAAAATGTAACTTCTTATACATACTTCTGCTCCATCAGAGCGTTTCAGCAAATCGGTTACAAACTTTGAGGAGAGTGACGACACAAAACAGAAAAAAGGAAGAACACGAGCAGTGTGACAAAATATGTTTTATTATGTTTAGTACAACAAAAACCAACAAATAAGAACAAAAACAGATAATGATCATCATTAAAGAAGGTGTTCGAAATTACGACCCCGGACCGTAATGCATGCCTCGCATTTCTTGCGCGTGGAATACATGGAAGATCGCATGGAAGATGCATGACGCACGATTCCTTCGTCACGGTTCAGAGCGTAATTTCGAACACTTTCTTTAATGCCAATCGTCTGTTTTTGTTCTTATTTCTTGGTTTCCGCTACACAAGCATAATAAACATTCTTCTCAAATAATTCGTATCCTTCTTTTTTGTTTTGTGTCGTCACTACCGCGCCAGGAAGGGTTTCCGACCATGCCTTCTATTTGTTTTTCCATCGTCTAGCTACTCTTTATCTATCCTGAAAATTTGCAACCGATTTGCTGAAGCACTCTGCATATAGGAAATTTTATGCTCATTATAAAATATAAAATACAATAATGTGACTGTCGTGCAACAAGCATTAACTAAAACATTCGACTTTAAAAACGAAGATCATATTAACGACCTCTACACAGACTGAAGAGCGAAATGCATTTGTAGTCAGTTAAAAAATCAGTTTAGAAACGTTTCTTATATTAATAGATCAAATGAATAGAATTTCTATGCGGATTTACTTGAAAAGTATTGATCAATATAAAGTTCTTCAAAAAGGACATCGTATTCACATAATCTTGAGGAATCCATGTTCGTGTGCGTGAAAACAGTGGCAGGTATCAGTATTGGCATACAGCTAACACGTTACGTTATTTGCACAAATTAAAAATTTTAAATATTTCTAGTTTAATGAATTTTTTGCATTATAAATATGATAGTTATGTTATGATTCTAAAGTAATAGAATTTCATAAACATATTATTAACGTATTTTTAGTGTTTGTAAACTTATAAATTACTTACGTTAAAATTCTTTCGGCCTAACAAATGTAACAAAATTATAAATTAAAGAATGTTTCACACTAATATATCATCATGGAATGCCACTGAATGGAATTCAAAAGGAAGTATCAACCTTAAATTAGTAAACATTTTAATTAATTAATTTTTTTAACTGACTCCTAAAGGCAAATGAATAATAACATATTATCCTAAATTTGTTAATTTTGTCAATTTTTATGTCTTTATTTTTTATAATGAGTACAAGATTTTCATAAATATAAGTACAAGGTCCGAAGTATAGTACATAAAGTTAGATTTCGTAATTTTATGAAACTGATCTCATTCTTAAAACGCCAAAATATAAATGTTTATGTCATATAGAGCAATTTTTTAGCTGAAAGCACATGTTTGAGACCAGCTGCGAAAATAAAAGCCAAGTAAGGGTTTTTGTGGACACGATGCATATTAAATGGAAGAAATTAACGTATCCTAGAACATGAGCGAAAAAAATACTTAATTTTAAGAAGGTGTTTACTTAATTCCTACCCTTCAAAGTCTTAGTAGATAAGACTACTAACATGCAACTCTCTTAGTAGATAAGACAGTTGCATGTTAGTAGTTCCGCCCGAGTTCAAGTCTCCGTTGGATAGGATGATTACGTGGGCGGTTTCATACTTTTGTCTACATGCGTTGTAAATAGATATTAAATTTCCGTTAAAGAAACTCCAAAAGTACGTCTTTCTCTTTTTGAAAAGTCACCATGTGTCTTGTCTTAATTTTAAAAAAAAATTATCCTTCATATTTAATTATATCAACTTTTCTAACTTAACTCATTACTTAACTATATTAATAATTAGTACTTAATTATATTAACTTTACTAATTTTACTTAATTATTTTACTAACTTTATTATAATTTTACTAACCAGTAAATTTTACTAACTTTATTATAACAGCTTACTACACTCATGTCCATAAATTAAGGATAATTAAGAGTCACGCAGAAATCGAACTCTAAAATAAATATATCACCTGTAAAATCACTACACACATCTTCAAGAATCATATGCAAATTTCAGGAAGTAACCAGATGACACCGATGGTACTTCACAATGACGAGAGTGTAAGAGAGTGATATATAATGAATACAGACAAAGAAGTAAAATTGTTTGCAGGCGCTTTATAAGCATTTCAGTGCAATAACCGAATAGTTATGCCACAAAGGACGTATTTGGATGATTTTTTACGTGGTGGAATTATCGGGCGTCTGGAATGTGGGCGTACCCAACTGAAAGTATCAAACGAACTTGGAATTCCCCAGAGTGTCATCTCCAGGCCTTGGCAACGATTCCAAGATGATGGTAATGTGAGTAGACGTTACAGCACAGGTCGCCCCAGAGTTACAACGCTGAATGAGGACCGGTATTTGGCAGTTACTGCCAAAAGAAACAGGCGGAGCACAGCCTCAGACTGTCTCGTCAGCTTTCTTCAGCCACTGGTACGACAATTTCAAGGCAGACCGTGTACAGACGCTTAGGGCAGATTGGTCTATATGCTCGTAGACCTGTCACATGCGTTCCAATTACTGCAACTCACTGTCGTCTGAGGTTAGCCTGGAGTAGAGAGCATGCATTGTGGACACCGCAACAGTGGGCTTGTGTGATTTTTTCCGACGAGTCCAGGTTTAGCTTGCAGTCTGATTCTCGCCGGACTTTCATATGGAGAGCTCCAGGTACCCGTTACCACCAAGAAAACATCATTGAACGACACCGTTACGGTGGTGCAGGAGTGCTCGTTTGGGGTGGAATTATTCTGTGTTCCAGAACTGACCTGCGTGTTCAAATTGGAACCATGAGAAGCCAAATCTATCGGGACGTCATTCTGGAACAACATGTACGTTTGTATCGGGGTGCCAAGGATTTAAATGGAGTAATGCATTCATGGAGGACTTTCTAAGATGAACTTGTCGCATTCACGTTACACACGCGGAAAAAACCCGAAACGCCCACACAGGCATCCCATATTATCACTCAACCACTGGTTGATTTTTTAAAAGTAATCAAGCAATCAATATTTCTGCTGTCTCAGAAAGGACTACATTATTAGGTTATTATTATTATAATGCTTACCATAGCTACGTTTTGAACTTAAACAAATGTACAAAATGAGATTTCTAGATGATAACAAATTTGATCATATGGCACTTTAAATCAAAATACAAAGAAGATAGAAATCTCCAAAAATAAAGTATAAGTTAATAAATTAGCGTTTCAAGATCTCCGAGGGAAAAAATTGTATAAAGCAAATAGGGCTGATGAAAATACTACCAAAATATTTTTGAAGCAAATAATTTCCGTTCGTTAAAAAGAGCGTCATATACAAAAATAAGCTTTATTAAATACAAAATTTATGACTTCATCACTTCTGCAAGCTATAATTAGAAATTTAAAACTGGTACGTTTCATTCTTTAGATGAACCTTTTAGAAATTTGCTCTTAAAAATCCTAACTTAAATACTGTTTGACCTTGTTTCACAAATTCTTGTAATCCTACATCAGAAAATTTCGATCTTTTAAGAAAATTGGATCATTATCTACCACATCTGATAATTTTAATCTTATATTAGGAGGATGACTCTGAATTTTACTAATCCGATTACGGAAATTCTTTTTTCATTGAGAATTCATGACTACAGGCTGGTATAAATTTATGTATAAAATTTTAATTTAAGAAATGTCATTTGACCCAAATTATTCTGGAGGCCTGCCACGTTTGATTCAGTTTTTAAATTGTAACCTTTGTTTCAGGACTAAGCAATTAACACTTGTTAATTAACATTTTTTGTTGTTATTTGCGTGTTTTGCTTACCTATCCTTGAACATTTAACACTTATTTATTTGCCGAGTAATTGTGAAAAACCTTGTATAACTCTCATTTAAAGTTTCAATGATTTCTTCATGTAGGTTAATAATGTCAAAAGGCCTATTAGTATAAAATCATATTTAAGAATAATTAAATGATACTCATTACATTTGCGTAATAAAGGAACATAAAATTATATGGGTATTATAAAGATGGGGAAGAAATATTGTTGGATTTAGAAAGGCGTGAAATAACAAATAAATATTGATTCAAAATTGGTTCATGTGCATAGATGCTCATAAAAGCATTTGGAAAAAGTTCTAAAATTAGACAAAATTAACACAATAGTCTTATATTACACTTTTCTCAAGTATTTAGAAAAAACACACGTTTAAAAAGTTGAGAAAAGATATAATTGAAAAATATGAGCAATTTTCATTTATTTTACTGACGTTCTAAGATACCTAAAGAATAAGATAAATCGTTTTAAGAGTTTAGTTTTAATTTCTTAAAATAATTAGAAAATAGCCAAAGTTAAGTCTGGCAAAACTCGACTCATTACATAGTTTATAATTAACACTCATTATTTCAGTTGCTAATTGCACTACGATTTTTAATTGCACTTGGATCTCAAAGTGTAATTTGCTTTCTGCTCCTTCAGATTCAGTTCTAACTACCTGCGAAATATTTTCCTTTTCCTAAATAGCCAAGCTTAGACTTTAAACTTTTAAAATTTCCTTAACCTGATATATATCAACCTTAAATTCTCTTTAAACATTCTTTCGCTTCAGCAAACGATTAGAAGAGCGTGATATA